AGAGCTGCTGGAGCTGCGTCTCATGAAGAGGGAGTATTCTTTTGGAACCTTTCCAAGGAGTCAGGATTAAAATGAATCATGCTGGCGTTCCAAAATTTGGAATCCAAATTTTGGAATTTGGAACGGAGATTTGGAAACGTAATCGTGTCTCCTTGGAAAGGTTCCAAAAGAATACTCCCTCTTCATGAGACGCAGCTCCAGCAGCTCTCACTCCACGATTGCCTCCAACAGACACCACACCCCACAGAGGACAACCAAACATGGACAACAGCATGGAGGCCACAACGACCCAGCGTGGTAGGCAAACTAAAACCCCGGCAAAATTCAGTCAAAACGGCTCGCTTGGGGCCGCCGTAGGCGGTGGAGGCTTGCTGCCCAGCAGCCAGAAGCTTCTACCGGGAATCACAGGAGGCGCTGCCGCCACCAACATTCAGAGCGAGGGTGGAGCTGGCCGCCCCCGTAAGGTGGCGGCCACTGCTGTTCCTGCCTCCTCGGGNAAGCGGTGGCGGCAGCTCGACGGAAGGCGTTGGCGGCAGCTCGAGGGGAAGCGATATCGGGGGCTTCAGGGGAAGTGGCAGCGACGTCGTGTCGCCAGGGGCGCCGGGGTCGGCGAAGACCCTCCAGGCGCTGCAGAAGTCAATAGACCGCAACCGCACGAAGAGCTACGAGAAGTGGCCGGCGAGCCTCCTGAGAGAGGCGTGCTCGTTGAGGAGAATCATGGGCTTCTCGAAGGAGAAGGACACGGACAAAATGGCTAGAAGGTTGACGCAAGTCGACCGCGTCATGGAGAGGAGCAGCCCTTTCTTCGCGGATCTGGACGACAAGGCCGCAGGTGATTGAAGAGACTGAACGTTTGTGCGGTCCTCGCGGCGCATCTTTCCCCCTACCACTACTGCTGCTGTTATGCTTAGATTGCATGCCTGGCCTGTTTGCTCGAATCTCATCGGGCGGGTTTGTAGCTCCCTTTGACTACTGTCTACACTTCCGTTTATAGAGGTGCGCCAAATGCTTTGTCACCACGTGATGGGGGACAGTAGTTTCGATTAATTAGATTTCATGGCTTGAGCTAGTGTTTGGCCAGAGAGCATCTTGGCAACTGCTGTAAGTGTAGCAAACGGTAGATAGTGCGTGAGAACGAGAGAGAGGGAGAGAGAAACACAGCAACAGCAGCAGCAGCAGCAGCAGCAGCAGCAGCAGCAG